CAGAACAGGAAAACAAAGATATTGGATGACATAAGGAAATAAATTCTGGTTCCATAGTTGCTACAAATAAAAATACTCACAAGAATGGGAGTTCTTACACTCCTTGAAGATGGAGAGGAATGTGGTTGTGGGGTTGCCTCCAAGGCTGTAAAATACACGAAAATAAAATATAAGTCATGTACATTTTTCAAGGAACCATAAATAATTGATTTTATTATACCAACATACAAGTTCACTAAAAATGGGATTTATTATGAAATTGAGGACGAAAATAAATGATTGGAAAAGGCACACAAAAATGTAACAAGGAAGCTAAGGAATGGGTACGAAAGGTAGGAATTATGAAAGAGACTTAGGGGTCGTCCACATATTACGTCACGCACCTAGGGGGAGCGGGAGGTTTGGCAAAGCGTGACGGTTTGTGGGGGGGGGGGGGGGGGGGGTCTGAAACACCGTTACGTCACATTTTTTGAGTAAAGAAAATACGTTTTTTAACAGCTTTAATCAAGTCAATTTACCGTACAGCGACTAGCAAAGTATCTGAGTGAGCGAGGGAGGATGCACACTCAGGCGGCCAGGTAGACGGCGGGGCGGCGGCGGGCAAGACGTTTGATAGAATCGAGAACATACGTATCGGGGTGATTTGCGTAATTAATTGTAGAGAACCCATAGTTTCTGGAACTAAACCGTGTATACCGTTTTGTAGCGCATACGTTTGACTATAAAACGCAATGTGTCTGACGTCGATACGCCTACCCAAAGCTGAGATATCCCCTGTTGGAAACGGCACTGCAGCGTTGTCGTCTTGTCATGGTGAACAACTTTAAAGTCGAGACGTTGGTCTCACACATTCCCCCAATTTTTTTTAGACTCTGTATGAACGTAGGTATGGCATGAACTAGGATATCTGGAATCGGTCAACTCCTTCATCCCGAAAAAAAATCAAAACTATGAGAGTTTTAGCCTTTTTTTCGATATGTCAAGTTTCAGCTGCTCGAAAAAATAGTAAAAATTATCCGATAGCAAATATCGTAGTTAATGCCATGCCTACCTTCTCACAGAGTCCAAAAATATTTTGTTGGACTGTGTGAGACCAACGGCTCGACTTTAAAGATGTACACCATGACAAGTCGACAACGCTGCCGTGCCGTTTTCAATAGGGGACATGTCAGCTTTATGAAGGCGTATCGACGTCATACACATTGCGTTTTATAGTCCAAAGTATGCGCTAAACGATTTAATCGGTTTTGTTCTAGAAACTATGGGTTCTCCAAAATTAATTACGCCAACAACTCTTATTTTAGGCTCGCTACACTGGGATGCCCCCTTAATGCATTTATCACCTATTTTAAGCCTTATCGATTTATATAAAATTTTATATGTTTTTTCT